TATATATTTATATATATATATTTATATATATATATTTATATATATATGTATATATGTACATATATACATACATATATTTATACATACATATATATATATATACATATTTGTTTTATGCGACCCGTCTTTCACATGTACTGTGCGGATCCTAGCACTGCTCACATTCGATTCGTTTCCTCCTATCCATCACCCACTGAGGCCTTCCAATTATTACACGTGGCCTCGGCTGCTGCTTCAGCATTTCCATTTCATCTTGAATGTCGTAGAATGCTGATGGAGTCGATTGTCACTGGCGTCCTGAGTTAATCGTGCTAGAGCGTTCTCAGATGAACTGCAGAGAGAGCCAGATGGATAAATGGCTTGGCGAGCTTGGAGTGCGATCGAGCTAGCCCCATGTTCGAGATGATCAGCATCACCACCACCGTACTATCCGCCGCCGCCCTCTCCCCTCTATATATACAAATACATATATATATACATAGGTATACGTATATATATGTATATAATTACCCACTATATATGTATATATATATATATATATATATATATATATGTATACAAAGAGCGTGTGTGGCGCAGGGGAGGAGGCGCCATGTGGAATCGATCCCCGCGCCCATGGCTCACCAAGCCTTCCATCTCTCCGAGGTCGGCAAATTGGTACCAGACTTGTCTGAAAAGATAGCAGAACTGGCTTGATATATCGGTAGGCCATGGCGAGTCATTGTAAAGGCCAGATATGCATTCGATCATCTCCAAAGACGCTTAATGAAGTCGAATGTACAGCGCATCCCTCAGGGATAGATCAACGTCGAGAGTTTTATCCTTTTTATCCTTTCATTTATATCTAAAGCATAAAGTAGTAACCTACTTAGGTACTTCGATTCAGAGTTATAACCAGTCGTGTGAGTTAAAGCACTTCTTCGATTTACCGATTACCTTGCGGCCGTCATTCATGGCGGTAGAGGGGTTTATCCATGGTTTGAGCTATTTGAACTACAACTTCACAATGTGACGTCTCGACTGACATTTCAAGCGCTCGGTGAGCGGATTTTGACTAGAATTCAGAAGTAACCATACCAGAGCGTTCTCAAATCTTCACAATAAAGAGTCGGAGTCAGAGGGGAAGTTCACTGGTTTGAGAGGTGTTTTCATGCGGTAATCTTCACACCGGAGGCGCGTGTAGCGCTGTTGTTAGGTGAGCCCTGCAAAACGCAACAGATCGACCGCTGGTTCCATCCCGCGCGCGGTTACAGGAAACGTTCGATCCCTCTGGGGTCGGAAAATTGTACACAACTTCTCTGGAAAGTTGGCAGAACTGACCTGATACAGCGGTAGGCCATTGCAAGTTCCTGTATAGGGCATGTATGTATTCAATCACCTCTACGATGTTGATGAAATCAAATGTATGGCGCATTCCTCCGGGTCTGGTCAACGCCGAAAGCTTTTTTCGCTGTCCTTTCATGTAAAACCCCCTTGGACTATTACATTTTCTATTTCTGATATGTTATTTCTTATTAGGTACTGAAACCAATTTTTCAGCCTGCTCTTTTTATATTTTGATTCATGCCATGGTTTTGTCCCTATCAAATTAGAGCTGTTATGATGTTATTCTTCCTAATCTGATGTCATAGCATCGTCAAAAGCAGTGGAATGCGTATTCCCTTCCTTCGTTCCTTCTTGAGGAGGTCATCTTGGCAATCGTGCTTCTCTCTGTAGCTTCTGTTTCGATTGGACCTTTAGTTCAGGTCCCGATCAGTGTTTGTCTGTTTAGTCCTCTTCTCGCCTCAGAGAGGCTCCGTCGACACAGCCAATCATCCGACGATCTCGCCAAATCGTAAACACATTGAGCGGTTGTCGTTCTGCTACAATGATTGCACAGATAAAATCCGGTTCACAGAAAGCTGTTATTTCACGACTGAGTTATGTTGACATTGTACAACTTTTCTTCTTCTGTCATTGACAGTCCCACATCAGTTCGAAATCTCCTAGTCTCATAGTTCTATCGTGAATTATTACCTTTTCTTTCAGGAATAGTGCTCACTATGATAAGCGATGCCTTTTTCGACTTCTATTTTTGTCATACTGTACACGTACTAATTTTTACACATTTTAATATTACAGAGAGCTCAAAGTTAACCCTTTTTCTCAGTTTGGGACCAACTTTCTTTTATCTCTCGCATTGGCCGTTACATAACCTTGTAACGAGAATTTGGCTCATGCAAGGGCAAGAATGATTTGCGCGCTCAGCTTCAACAAAGCGACTGCAGAGGCGAGATTTTCTCTGCAGCAGTGCTGTGGTATGAACGAATACCTCGTTGATATTGGTGGTTGATACCCTAGTGTTTAAAAAATTGAAATAGAAAACTCCGACTTGGTCCATTCGTAGGCCTGTGGAAGTCATTGTTTAAGACCAATATGGAGTCCGTACGACAGTACCTCTACGATGCCAGTGGAGTGGGAGGAATGTCATAAACGATGTTTCATCGATCCGAATGCTACATCTTTTATCCTACAAGCCTGTTAAATGTCTTCCTAGTCATGCAGTAGAAATTCAAACCAGGTCTCGATTATATCATAATCGGCTTACTACAGCGTCAATCGTAAAAGTCCTTAGTGCTTGGCTAGTCGATGAAAACATTACTGGAGTAAGTTTTTAAAGCCAACTAACACGAAACCGCTAATGTGAATGACGCATGTAGGTCTTCCTTCGTGTTGTATTGAACCGAATTCCCGCCAGTTGGAACTCTTCAGCCCAACCCATAACCTTAACTCTTTTATTTACTGCCTTTTTCTTCTTAATGGCAGGATATGTTGTGAAATATAACTCGTATGAAGTGCTGAGATATTTGCAAAACTCCGAACCACAGGTGTATGCAGTGGGGAACGAACACGCGCTGTTGTCCTTACCGGGAAGCAGAGCGTGTTCGTTCCCCACTGCATACACCTGTGGTCCGAAGTTTTGCAAATATCCAACCCATAACCTTTGATGACAGAGACGGCGAAGAACAAACGTTTCGTAGACTTATGAAGTCCAACATTTTATTACAAAGGAATAAGTGAACTAGATTGCAAAGAACAAGAACATTTATTTAACAAAACCAGGTTTAAGCTCAGATATGAGCATTTGAAGTTAGAGAGACAAATTATTTCCAAACATCGGTGAGGCACACATGGTTCACGTCGCCGTTATCGGGTTGGTGCGCTCAACAGTATGGAGCGCAGCATGTCAACTCTGGACCTCAATGTCCAGACTAATTCCTATTTGCCCATTCCCTGGCTAGTGTCGTTTTCCACTTTCTGTCTTCACTCCTCTCTATCGAGCGAGATCGATTCGTTCAGGTTCTCCTTAATTATGTTGTTTTTTATTTACTGCCTATTAGAGTTTTTCACGGCATGGTTCTATGTGTACTATGTGTGATACAATCACAATGTCGCTGAGATATTTGCGAAACTATGCACTATAGGTGTTTGCGGTTGGGGAACAAACACGCTATTACCCTTTACAGGGGCTTAATGCGTTCGCCTGTATCTCAGCTAGTTTTATGTGCCGATTTGCGCTACTCAGATCAATCCTATTGACGGGTGATTGCTGAGGGCAAAGCGAAACGAAGGACCCGCATGGTGTGGTTGTGAACGCTTAACTTTTTTTAAAGGTACGCAGTGCAATGTGCATTTTTTGTTTATCTGGTGATCGCCAGCCCCTCCAGTGGTTTACCGCTTCGTTGTGATTGGGTAGTTGTTGAGTTGCAAACAAGATTGATCCTATCAGCTACGTCTCCCAAGCTGAGAAGGAGACACTTCCATAGAAAGAGCATCTAGGAGTATGCTAGTGCTAGGAATCACTGCCATCCTGACAACTGCTTTAATTATGAGAAAGTCTAAGCACATCGTTGAAAATTCCAGGGTAGAAAAATCTTGTTCGGTCAGCAAATCACCAATCAGACTGAAATACTTTGATGACGTATACTGATATTTAACATAGGTAAGCAAGTATTTGGTGACGCTGGTAGGGAAAACAGACAAACAAACCCACGTAGTTCTTTAGGACCAGAATTTTGCTTTCAAACTCTCCATAACACAAGAAATTTATCGGCTTCCTCTAATTAGTTTGGAATTTCCTCTGTTGGAAGACTGTAAATTGCCAAGTTGCTGTTCTACTGCTCTGATGATACTTACGAATCGTCGGTTTGTCGATACTATCGATCTACTATCGATCTGATCAGTTGCCAGATCGGTGACATCTTTGGCCACCGGTTTGTTTATCACGCACCGTGCCCGATTCCACTACAGTGTTTTATGTTTATGTTGAGATCTGTGTTTTAAGCACATATTTTCCAATATTGGATTTTTTCAGATGATTTTACTATTCCTTATATTTCTGGATAGCGCATTGGCCAGATTATGTTATCAGTGTGCTTCAGAATTAGCACTGATCGTAAGTCTTTCTAAATAACATAAAGAATAGGTGTTTTCGTCGTCTTAACCCTTTTATTTACTGCCTTTTTCTTTTAAATGGCAGGGTATGTTGCGAAATATAACTCGTATATAATGCTGAGATATTTGCAAAACTCCGGACCGCAGGTGTATGCGGTGGGGAACGAACACGCGCTGTTGTCCTTACCGAGAAGCAGCGCACTTCACCACCACACCATGCGGGTCCGTGTTTTCGTTGTGTTCAGAACTTCCATAGCCATTCCACGTTAGATTTTAGTACAAATATGTTCGCATCGAGTTAAATCTGTTAAGAGCCAAACTGGTCGTGTATTAGTCAGTACTACAACATCAAACCGACTAAAAGTCGTTCTCCAACTCGTCTACACGACGACAAATACCGTATACTTTAACGTCGCTAGGGGTACTGAACGTGGTTATGTTGGATGAACGCTTGAATAGCTAATATTTTCTGGATCATTTTTGCATAATACTTTTTATGACATGTTCTGGTTATAATTTATAATCGTGGATCTTTTGGAATTGTCCGAAACACTTCGTGTGTCTTGATGCGAGATTCTGTTCAGAACTGGTCTCGCTACGGCCTTCCACATCTGCAGGGTGATTCGATGACGGCAGACGATGCCTGTCTGGATGACGATCGTCTTGGCAGTCATGTCACTTGTAGTGCTCCGTGTATGACCATCAATATCACTGCGATTGGTGGGAAGCACGACGGCAGAGTCGTTGGTAGGTGACCTCGATAACAACTCGAATATCAAGGAATTCCAGAAGTTGTAAAATAACACACTATCCTTGTCAATTTACAATTACAACATACATGTAATGGAATATTTTATGGGACTGATTAGTTTCGTGTTTCTCATCTGTGCAATGTTCCATTCTGATATTTGTGTACGTAAATCAGCCATTTGTTGGATTGTTGGACAGCTAAGTAAATATTTCATGGTTGTGAAATAGCTATTCGAACAATGGAAAACTTCTACTTAGTTATGGAGTAGAAGCAGTGAGAGTAACCGAATTCGTGGGAAGTCTTCGGGGCTGGTTCCTGGCTCTGTTTATGCTTGATCATGATCAATCCATAGTTATTTTCTTCCTATCATTAGATAGCAGGTGCGCTCAAATGTGATATTGAGGTATAAAAAAGGATGAAGCTTTCGGCGTTGATCAATCCCTTCGGAATGCGCCATGCATTCGACTTCATTAAGCATCGTTTCGAGGTGATTGAACGCATATCCGGCCTTTACAATGAATCGCGGTCGCCCACCGAAGTATCAAGCCAGTGCAGCTATCCTCCCAGACAACTATGGTACTAATTTGCCAGCCCCAGAGAAATGGAAGGCTTAGTGAGCTTTGGGCGCTGGGATCGATCGATCCCATGTGTATTTCAGGGTGCCTCCGACCACTGCGTCACACGCGCCATGATACTGGGATATAGAGGTGGAAATATAACAAGTTCATGCTGATAGAACCTGACAATTTAGGCCATTGTTCACTCTATGCTCCACATTAGGAACTTATTGTTTGTGGCTATGCCTTTGAATAAATTCTTTATTTATGATAGAAGTTGAATTCCAATTTCAGGTATCGTTCGTGACTGTCAGACATACTTTCATAATCCGAAGTCACTTCCCGAGGGGACTACTCGTATGTGTCGGCACAGTGAAAGAGAAACGACGCGGAGTCAGCGGTATGGTGACCGTCTTCTCGTAATTGTTCTGTTTCTGTTCTTTTTTTCATGAAAGAAGATTAAGAGTGCTAATGAAAGATGAAATCAGTTAGTTTCAAAGCGAAACCGCATCACTGGCTTTAGAGTCAACGTGACGTTCTGCTATTGCGAATGGAATTTGTGCAACGGGAACCGTTCTACAATCCATCTTCGACGAGCCGTCCAACGAACACATCCAGCTTTAAATCATGCATGCTCAGTTAATCGGTGCTTTTCAACATACCTTGCCTTATTGCTTTTTTCCTTTCGGGTTGTGAGTTAGAGGGAACCGCAAACGAAAATATATTGAGTTCCTCACATTCTGAGTATTACAAAATACCGAATGTGCTCCCTAACGTGCTGATAATCGACCTTTTCAACTTCGAAGCGGGAAAATGTGGCTTCGCACTATCACTGGAAGCCTACTAGTGGGAATTCCCAGAACTGCCTTTCTGTTAAGCATGGATCACTACTGGACGTTTTTGCTAGTAGGTTTCTGAATACTTGAAATAGTGCGAAGTGATATGAATTCGTAACGTACCAAAAGACGGCACTCATGTGCTGCCTGGTGTTGGTTGATTTCGTTCATTTTTTTTTGGTTCACTCTAGTGTCTTGTGTGATTTGCCATATGAATTTCAATCCCGATCATGCTTTCGTTAACTTTTGTTCTAACGATCAATAAGTTCGCTTAATTACTAATGAGCTCATAGTTGTTGTGCTATCTTTTAACGTTTTTGCATCAAAAGCTGCATCATGAATTGTACATTTTCCTGATGAGTTCACTTCGATATACTCTCTTCGGTTATTAAGCAGTATGTTAAGCACCTACTCCACTGATAGGCTGGAGACAAAGTTTTGCAACACTTTCCATGATTGTTGTAAAAATGGTAAAGGAGTAGTAGACAGATTTCTCCGTTCAGAATGCCACCATATTTTGAGCTCCTTGCGATAATCACTAGGAAGCGTTTAGCAATGTTAGCCATCGGAAGGTCTACTGGGATGGACCACATAATGGCTTAATGCCCCAGTGAGCTGAAAGCATAGTGTGTGAATCATTGCGTTTTGGCAATGTTTCTTTGCTCATAAGAAAGCTTCTGCAGCAAATTGTTATTGCAAATGTGCCCCAGTTAGTGTTGTTAGAAGTCAAGTGAAGGAACAGGCTTGTAAGACTATACACTTCTCAAAATGACGTCGGATACATCTTCTCTTCAAATTACGAAGATTTCTAGGCAGAAGGCATCGGAAAGTCAGCCAACCACGCCTTGGGAATATACAATAGATGATTACTGTGGTAACATAGGAGGCAGAAGTTTTATTCCGCTTAAGTTATATAATTTTGAAGAACTCGGACAGTGTGTCGCAAAACTTTCTTTCCAATCCAGCGTGAGTTTTTAAAATCTCGAGTTACAATATGATTCTTGAATGCATCAGTTTACTTCTACCTTACGTGTTAATATGATCTCTTGTTGTATAATATGTAAAAAACGAAAAGAATTGTAAAATCTGGGCTCACAATCCTTGCGTTTTCTAATGCCTTACCTGGAAAAAGAAGGGGATATCTGGTTCTTTTTCTTGAGTTCAACATACGAATGAATAACTAATGACTGGAGTAGTTTCTCACTTCATATCTATAAAACTTCCACTGACAGTAATGAGTCCTCCATCACAAAGAGGAATTCACTAGATACCTCGGCGGCCCATCCTCACTGGTTGTGCGGACTCCAGCACAATCTCCATTTTTCGGAGTTTTGCTGGTTTAGCTATAGTGTTTCCCTGGAGTCCCGAGGTCAGCCTAGGCAAACTCTGCCCTAGGTCGTCGCCACCACATGCAGTCACGGCGCTTGTGGATCGGAGTGAGATTTGCCACAGTTTAATACCAGAACGGTGATGGATCCTGGTATTGATTTACTCTTAGCTGAGTTTCCTGATGGAAACGACGGACTCCTTTTCAGTTTGGGAGGCGCTGCCAGGGGATGAATCCCCCTCTGTACATCGCATTCCGACACCCAGGAACATCTCCTCAGCACGATGAGGCGGTAAATCGTTGGATTTGTGTTTTTCAAACACGAGTTATCTATAGAGAAAAGCTGCTAGTGGAATCGACGAGGGTCGAGTTTGCTATCGAAGGTTAAAAATCACGTTTAGAACACAGAAAAAGTGAATTTTCGGTCTTGATGATGCTGTCTTTCCTTGTTTTTTTACTTGTAAAGTTTAAACATTGGTTAGACGAAATTCGAGGAAACGTTTGCAATTCGAAAATGGAAAGCACATAATTCGTTTAGTTTGAATCGCATCTTGTCAGCGAACTGTGAAATAAGTGAATTATTACGAAGTTTCTTGGTCTCATGTTGACTTTTTAGTCGACTTGCTCTCAAAAATTAACCTTGGAGCTCGAAAAAATGAAACGAATTTTGGGCAAAATCCGATGAATTAGGAGAAAGGGGGATAGCTAATCGTCAAATAATGCCAAACGATTTCCCCTAATTTCATGTTAATATCCTTTGCTTGTTTCACACTTGAAAAAGGGGTTTCTGTCCAAGAAATATTTCTACTTCATGAAGGCTGCTAGAATTTTAATTAGTTGATAAATAGGATTTGCCCACTGCGAGAGCTCCTTTTTTCTTCTCACGTTAGGTTGTGAGCAAGAAAGGGGTTTGTTGAGTTCCGTGTTTGTAGCTCACGTCAATTAACTGTAGAATGTAGGGAAAAGTTAGGATTACTGTATAATGCTTTCTGACATCACCGCGTAAGAAGGAAACTACTACCAAAGGTGGTGATCGTGAGAGAATCGAGGAGAAATTTTCTGGGGTTACTCGTGGGTGGGACACAAATCATTGCTCATATGTACGAAAAATTAATGTGGAGAGTTAGTATCGAGTAGAAATATCATGCCAATGTCTTCGAACCTACACCTTATCTTTGGTCAACTATTTCTTGTTGGCTACTTATGTTCTCGGACATGTAAAAATTGCAAATAGCAAACGGTGAATACGAACGCAAGGCACTGACTCGACCAGTTTCCTTCTTTCCGATTAGGGTCAGGAAATTGGTACCAGACATGTTTGGGAAACTGTCTGCCTGCAATTCGGTTCGCAAGGTCCAGGAAGAAAGAACTGACTCGATCGACTGGACCACTGTTCAGTAAGACTTGTAAAGAGGTACGAAAATGCTCAGGTAACAGCTGAATCCATACACGAATCGTAAGAACTTCGATGCTGGATACGGTAAAACGAATCTAATGAACGAAATAGTAAGGCTTCGAAAGATGTAAGTCTTCACAGCCCTACAAGATGGATATCTGAGGGTAAGTCATATAAGAAGGTTTCTACTGTTTAAAAAATATGAATAATAAGTTGCAAATGGAAAGTTCTAGAAAATAAGCTAAAAAAATGTGTTCACGACGGTAGTAACAGATTCAAAATGAAATGTCGATCAGTAGTGGTCTTTCTTCTTCCTACGCATCAATTCTATAATTAGCATTTGCTGAAACATGATATCGTGGAAAATGTGTTTCTGAATGACAACGCTCACAACATTATTTGAAGAGGAACTATCGATGTAATGACACTTGGTACTTGATACTTGAATGGTCCGTTCTCCCTGGTTGTGTGGGCGCCATCATAATCTCCTTTTTTCAGAGATTTGCTGGTTAAGCCATTCCCTGGAATCCTGAGCTCAGCTTGGCCAAAGTCTGCCCCAGATCTTCACCACCACAGGCAATCGCAGCCCTTGTGGATCAGAGAGAGATTTGCCACTATGCGACTTTGATACCATGACGGTGGTGGATCCTGGCATTGATTTGCTCTTAGCTAGGCTTCCTGATGGAAAAGCCGGACTCCCTCTCAGCTTGGGAGAACCTTCCAGGAAATGAATCCGCCGCTGTACATCGCAGTCCTACTCCCAAGAACACCTGCCTGCAACCACCAACCACGTGGCGGTAAACCGTTGGGTAGATCGACGTAATACAAAGAGAAAATATCGCGGAAAAAAGTTGACGAAAACCAGGTGGAGTAGAGAGCCTGTGGCTCAGTGAGAATCATGCTGTTGCGAAAAAGTGCAATCTAAGTAAATAATTACTTCCTACTACACTTTTTCACGGCTGGGTATTATGTGCAATATAAGCACAACGATACTGAGATATTTGCAAAACTCCGGGCAGCAGTATCTGCGCTGGGAATCGAACACGCTATCACCCTTTGCGGGGTCTAATTCGTTCGTCACTACACCGTGCGAGTCCTTCGTTTCGCCTTTCTCCCAGCTAGTTTTCGATTTAGCAGTCCCCTCAGCAGTTAACGGGTTTGATCTGGAGAGCACAAATCGGCATCGAACCCTGTTAAGCTGAGGAGGCCGGATGATTGGTGTTGACATCGGTAGGTAGAAAACTAGCTGAAACAAAGGCGAGACCAAGGACCCTCGTGGTGTGGTGATGAAGGCGTTAGCACCCGGAAAGGGTAATAGCGTGTTCTGTCCCCACCACAGACACCTGCTGTCCGGAGTTTTGCAAATGTCTCAGCGTCACTGAGGATTGATTACCTCGAGACATGAATTCGAACCAACGATCACGCTTTTGTTACAGCCTATGCCTAACCAATACGCTGCATATTCGGAGATAAAAAGTGAACTGGGAACGCTAGAAAAACCCAACCATTTATAACCGTTGGAACAAATTGGGCAGTCATTACATGTTCAATTACTTTTCCTTCATGAAGTTTTTATACGACCTAAAGATCATTTTTGAAACTTTTTCTTTTACTACTTTCCCTTTCTTGCTCCGCGCTGTGTTGAACAGATCTTTCGTCTATGCTTGCCGTCTAGTTCTAACTGTTTCTTATATTTAGATCTTCCTTAATAATACTTGCCGGAATGAGCGAATGTTAAAGTTCGATGTTTCACAGCTGACAAAGTTAGTGGTCAAAGGTTTATTTGAGGAAATCAGCAGTGATAAAATGGTAACCATTGACAAGTTCAGCGTATCATTTCGGCCACGTCTGGTCCCTCGACCGACTAATCGTGAGGACTCCAAAATTCCCTCCCCCCATAAGGGCCTACGGCCGTATGTGACAATGACCTGAAAGTCCTAGCATGGCGGTCTCGTAATTTTAAAGTAGCTCACACAAGCGCATCCATATTTGTGACTGTGCTAGTCGTTCTCGTGTTCCCATATTTTTCTTGAGCGATTACACACATATATGTATATATATATATATATATATATATATATATAAATAAATATAAGTTTGTAAATGTCCTTACGAAATGTCCTTGTTTAGCCAACGGGAAGCTTGGCATAGATTGTTCTTAGCGTTGCTGTTGTTGTTGTTCTACGGCTCTGTCACACCAATATTTTTTGAATTATATGTATATATATATTATATGTATATATATATATATCCCACCAGGATTTCAATAAGAATGGAGTTACCCTGCCATTATAACTGATTGGAAGTACAGAAAGCCTGACCACCAGCTTTAGTGACTGCTTTAACTCGAGCTAATGGCTGAATTCTTTGTCTTAAAGCTGAGTGCCACGTTCCTGGGAATTTGTAGAAAGTCGCAGGCAGGTCCACCTGTTCAGAAAATATATTTTTGCAGAATCTCCAGGAGAAAATCGGATCTGAGATGTTTCATATCTCACAGCTATAATGTTTTCAATTCGGCATTATGTACTCATAGATCACGTCCATTTGAAACGGCTCGTACAACATTTAAATTCCTTTTCTTTCTTTGATATCACGCCAGTTTTCATTTCCACCGTATACACTTGGAGAACACATGAAATCTAATATTAAACATTTATGCCTTACGAAAAAATTCCGTTGTTAATAGAGTGCAATTAAAAGAGTATTGTCGGCTTCAATATGTGATTTCATAGCGTTTACTGCTGCCAAATGAAGAAAGAGAGCATTTTACACCGTGGCGTATCAAGGGGCACACTATGGGCTAAGGCCTCAGGATTCGTTTCCCTCTCTTGGTTTCGATTAGCTCGTATAAGAGCTTGGTGACAAGCTCATTTCGAGTTC